TGCGCACACGCACACACACAACATAGAAAGAAATGTTTATATTAAGAAAAATGGCTCACATGGTTGTAGAAGGGGTTGAGTCCACTTTGTTTCAAATCTGCATGTATGATGTAAACTGGAGGCTTTTCCTGACTCAAACGGCTACCAAGAGTGGGAAGCTAGAAAGACATAACAGGAGCCAGGATCAGTAGACTTGCAAGCCACTGATAGCTTATTTTCGAGGATGTGATGGGCCATTGACCCAAGTCCAAAGAACTGAAGATCAATGTGACAGATGCAAAATCCACACCAGCAAGAAGAAAAAGAGAGCTCGAGTCCCCACAGCATATTTATCGATATTAAGTAGGCTACACTTCTAAGGAGATGTTTTCAGGCTCTGACCTGAGTAAGGTGTTACTTGGAGTTGTTTACATCATGTTCTTAGGGATGTCTTATTGCTCAACTACTGAGAATCCTGGCCCAGCCAAGCTGACATCAAACCTATCACAACCTTTCATAGTCTATGCTGACTATACCCCACACCCTCTCTGCTTTCTAGAGAAAGCAGGGAACATTTCTGATTTCAGAAAAAATTGCGAATTTCCTAGTTATCTTCTGTTGCTCCTCTTCAACTTCTTCCCTTTTCATGTTGTGATATGAATATCATGGGTTATTAAAGGAGATTGAACAAATACTGTCATTTTGGTCTCATATGATTGATTGTATTGAGGAATACATTCCTTCCTGGTGTTTATTATTCACTTTATAAGTATATCTGTTGTTTGGTTGAAAGTTTCTATCCAGGAGTGGGTTTAGTTCCAGGATTGACCTGTGTGTAAGGAGGCCTCACCACTATCTTCAGACTAGGAACTCTGATCCTGTTAATAATTTTTAGTTTTGTTCTGTATTCTCTTCACCCTGAGGTCCAGGATCTGCTATAGGTGTTACAACCAGGGGTGTTGGTCGTGGCAGACAGGCACCGTCTAGTTAATTTTCTCTCAGGATAGTGGAACCTGTAGTTTGTGTGGTTCATTAGACCTTTGGACTAATTGTTTCCTTGAATCTTTTATTTTCCTCCCTCTCCTTTGCTCTTGACAGGGAGAGGCCAATTGTTGCATCTTCTCACAAACTTAAGATCCCAATTCCTACTCACCAAGGTAGGATCCAGGACATTGTCCTACGATGTTATGCAAATTGACCTAGATGTCTTCCAAGACCCCAAACCTCAAGCTTGATGACTCATTCCCTGCAAGATGTATGTTTATGGGTGTAAGTTTTCAGAACTTTGTTCCCTCCATGGTCTATAATAGCTATCCTTTGACATAGTTGTAGCACATGCAAATACTTACGGAGAAATGGAATTGGAATCCAAGGAGAGGCAGGAAAAGTATTGTGAAAATGACCTGTTTCTCAGTCAATGTCTCAAATCAAAATGTGTAAACATGCGTTGACTGGAAAACTAGTTAGCTATGTAAGATTTCACTCAACCTATAATAATAATAATAAAAAGAAAAAAAATTTCACATGCTCTAAACTTTTACCAATCATCAGCAGCTTTCCTTGCTTCAAGATGTTTAACCTCTGTAAAGCTTGGAGTTCTCATCTGTGAATTGAGATCATAATCCTAGAGCTCCTTAAGCTTTGTTAAGTAAATTAAAGAGAGATATATGGGTATAAGTTAAAAAGTATTGCTATAAAATCATAGAAATATTTATTAAACAAGATAGCAAAAGGTAAAGCTTCTATTTCTTAATAGTCTCCTGTCTGTAGGTTTATCCTCCATGTAGGTTTATACATTTCGGAAAATGGTGTTGCCTTTTCTTTAACTATTTCCTGAAGAATTGGTCTCTATATTATTTTCACCACATAAAAATTGCAGTTTTGGATTCCTCCAAGGACTCAAACAGTGTTCCTTTTAAATATTCTCCGAGTTATGGGAACCAAAAGGGAAAGATCGTGTTTGCTGGGCAGATGGGGAAAGACTCTCAATGAAATTTTCCTAGGACAAGCTTTGCTACTACTCCGGAAGAATGAACACATACCCTGTAATGATGATAAAATAATCTTCGGTGCAACTTTCCTGACCTTCTCTCTCCTCATTGCCATTTTAAAATTTCTTAAAACTTTCCTAAGAAAGTCCCTGTGCTTGTCATTTGTCTTTTGAGAAAACTGATCATGATTACCCCTTGAACCGGTATACTGAGTAAATAATCAGAGAAGTTGGTCTATATGAAGAGGAGTGTAGCATCAAGATTAGAGGAAGGCTTATTTTAAAAGCATGAGCTATGCAGATGACACCACCTTTCTTGCTAAAAATGAGAAAGGCTTAATGCACTTGCTGATGAAAGTCAAGGATTGCGGTCTTCAATATGGATTACAACACAATGTAAAGAAAACCCAAATCCTCAGAGCT